CTTGGGGCGGAAAGTTAGATGTTTGTACTTTTGAACGCCCTGTGGGGGCTCGTTTGAAGCTTTCTCGGGGCCCTCTTGGGCCTTCTTGGGCGCCTCTTGGGCTGTTTCGGGGCGCTCCAGAGCCGTCTTGGGGCCGTGTTGGGGCCGTTTTGGGGGCCCCCCGGGCCATCTTGGGGCGCTCTTGAGGGCCTCTAGTTCTGTCTTGGAGCGTCGGAAAGCTAAAATGGCGAGAAAGCAGAAAACATCGAAAAACACATTGGAAAATTGACCATTTCGGCCTCCCGGGGCCGTCTTGGGGGGCTTCTTTGGGGCCGCTTGGGGCGTCTTGGGGGCTCCTGAGGCTGTCTTGGGGCTATCTTTGGCGTCTTGGAGCGCTTTGTGCCTGTCTTGGAGCGCTCTTGAGGCACTCGGGACCGCTTCAATGGGCGTCCGGAGGGTCCCAAAGCCCCAGGATCCCAGGAGTCCGGTTTGGCGGTTTGGGGGGGGGGGGGGGTGCGGGGTTTTGCGGCCGCCCGGGCTTGTAAAAATATAGAAAGAGGAATAGCGCTCTGAACCCACCAAGAACCCCCCTTTCTCATGATTATATATGAATTTAGATATGATTCCGACGATTTTCGGACTCAATTTTGAGGCTCTTTTTTGGAAGACTTTTTGGGCTCAAGTTCGGAGCGATGTTCACCCATACAACACCCAGTACTCAACAGCCTCCTTCTCCAACACAACACCCGATACTCAACAGGCTCCCTCCCCAAGCTGAACTTGAAAAGAACCTTCTACTCAACTGTCTCCAACACAACACCCAGTACTCAACAGCCTCCTTCTCCAACACAACACCCGATACTCAACAGGCTCCCTCCCCAAGCTGAACTTGAAAATAACCTTCTACTCAACTCCCTCCGTCTCCAACACAACACCCAGTACTCAACAGCCTCCTTCTCCAACACAACACCCGATACTCAACAGGCTCCCTCCCCAAGCTGAACTTGAAAATAACCTTCTACTCAACTCCCTCCGTCTCCAACACAACACCCAGTACTCAACAGCCTCCTTCTCCAACACAACACCCGATACTCAACAGGCTCCCTCCCCAAGCTGAACTTGAAAAGAACCTTCTACTCAACTCCCTCCGTCTCCAACACAACACCCAGTACTCAACAGCCTCCTTCTCCAACACAACACCCGATACTCAACAGGCTCCCTCCCCAAGCTGAACTTGAAAATAACCTTCTACTCAACTCCCTGATTATATATGAATTTATATCGGACTCCTACGATTTCCGGACTCAATTTTGAGGCTCTTTTTTGGAAGACTTTTTGGGCCCAAGTTCGGAGCGATGTTCACCCACACAACACCCAGTACTCAACAGCCTCCTTCTCCAACACAACACCCGATACTCAACAAGCTCCCTCCCCAAGCTGAACTTGAAAATAACCTTCTACTCAACTCCCTCCGTCTCCACCACAACACCCAGTACTCAACAGCCTCCTTCTCCAACACAACACCCCATACTCAACAGGCTCCCTCCCCAAGCTGAACTTGAAAATAACTTCTACTCAACTCCCTGCGTCTCCAACACAACACCCAGTACTCAACAGCCTCCTTCTCCAACACAACACCCCATACTCAACAGGCTCCCTCCCCAAGCTGAACTTGAAAATAACCTTCTACTCAACTCCCTCCGTCTCCAACACAACACCCAGTACTCAACAGCCTCCCTCTCCAACACAACACCCGATACTCAACAGGCTCCCTCCGTCTCCAACACACACACGAGTACTCCAGATCCAACCACCACAACACGACGCGACACCCGAAACTCCAACCGCACCCGCCCCCCTTTTCTCTTGGCATCTTCCAAGAGAAAAGGGGGGTTCATGGTGGCTGCTGAGGCCTATATATATATATATATGTGTGTGTGTGTGTCGCCAGGCCGTTTGTTCCGACGCACGGCCTTCCGTCTTGGGGAAGGAGCCACCAGGGCAAACGCCTCCTCGGGCGCAGGGCTTGCCGTGGGTTGGCCTTGGCGTCGGCGTCGTCCATTGGCCGCGTCGATATCAAACGGCGCGGCGACATTCAGACAAATGCCAAGATTCCCATCCTTGTTCAATCTTTCCTGGATGTTGGCTTCCCCCTCCACTGCCATGATGGCCTTATTTCCCTCGGAAGACGACGTTTCTTTGTGACAATTTGTGTCCGTGTCTTGTTTCCCCGCCTGAGCCTGGAGCGTTGCGCGGGGCCGCGCCGTACAGCTGCGCCAGCGCGCCAGCGCTCCCGAACTCCCGGGCGTAGTCGAAGGCGGTCCTGGCCCCAGATAGCGGGCCACATGCGAACCCTACCCCTACCCCCACGATTTCTGCGGGGGAGGGTGGGGTTCACTTCGCTCGAGAGCTCCCGATCGAAGTGAACCCCACCCCCCCCCTCAGAAATCGTGGGGGTAGGGGTAGGGGTAGGGTTCGCATGTGGCCCCCTACCAGACCTCTGGTCTCGAGAAACTCAGGGCGGACTTGCTGTCGAAGTCTTCGGCCCGAGAGCCCTCGCCAGGCCCCGGCAGGAGGCAGTACTGGCCCGGAGGAGAAAAGCCCAGGCCTCGATCTGGGGGCCCTGCACACGTCGGTCGTAAGAGAAATAGGAAAAACATGGAGCAGGAAGGCGGGTCGAGCAGCTCGGGCTCAGGCCCTGCCAGAGAACACCAAAAACAAAAAGCAAAGCAGACGCACACCGATTCCTGCAGCAAGAGGGCGCCTGAAGCAGAGTGGGATCCGGGGATCAGAAAAACCTACTTTCAACGACCGGCGTGCATTGAGAAGTTTAGAAGAAAAAGCGGCATGAACATAAACTTTCGGAGGTCCGCGCGGATTTCGTGGATCTGCGCTGAGCCCCCCTCCCTGGCGCGCGGAGCGCGCCAAAGGGAGCCAGGCGCAGATCCAAGAAATCCGCGCGGACCTTCGAAAGTTTATGCTTATGCCGTCTGACTTTCTTCGAGAATTCGAGACGTCGGATGTCTGGGGCTGACTTTGAACAGATTCGGGGCGGCGGCGACGGCGTCGGCGGCAGCGGTGCGCGGGGGTATGTCCTGCCCGAGTCGTCCCGCGCCCACGGGTCCGCGCCCTGGGCCAGGAAGCGGGCGCAGAGGCCAGCGCAGTCCTCCTTCGCGGCCATGTGCAGGGCCGTGAACCCCTCTTCGGGCGCGAGGGGGAGGGCCCAGATATGCTGGCGTCGAGAACAGCTTGCGTCGACGGACGGGGTTTGGGCCGTTTGGGGCCTCCATGGGCCCTCACGAGGCCCCGGGACCGTCAACAAATGACTCGGAATGCAAAACCGGCCCAGGGGAAAGGGCCGGGGCTTCAAGGGGCCGCGCATGGAGAAAGCAGGACCTCGCACGTCTGGAGACCCCCCCCGAGGCTTTCCGCGGGGTCGTTTTCCTCATCCTGGGTCGCTTTCTGACGGTGCGGGTGCCGCTGAGAAGGGCTCGGGAGGCCGAGCACGGCGGAATGCCTCGAGACCTGTTTCTCCCTCAGGGCCTCTGTTTTCCTCCTCCTTCTTGCCGTCGTCCTCCTCCTCCTCCTTCTCCTCCTCCTCCTCCTCGTCCTCCTCCAGCGCCTCCTCCAGCGCCTCCTCCTCGTCCTCCTCGTCCTCCTCGTCCTCCTCGTCCTCCTCCTCCTCCTCCTCCTCCTCCTCCTCCTCTCCTCCTCGTCCTCCTCCTCCTCGTCCTCTCCTCCTCCTCGTCATTTCTCCCCCTCGTCCTCCTCCTTTGTCCTCCTCCTCGTCCCTCCCCCCTCCTCTTCCTCCTCCTCCTTCTCCTCCTCCTCCTCTTAGTTGCCTCCACTCCTCCCCTCCTCCTCGTCCTCGTCGTCGTCGTCGTCCTCCTCCTCCTCCTCCTCCTCCTCCTTCACCCTTCCGCTCCCCCGTCCTCTTCAAGCTTCCTCTGCTCCCCCCGTTCCGCCCTTGTGCCCCACTTTTCCTTCTCTTGCTGCCCCTCCAGCGCCTCCTCCGCTCCGCACCCCCCACCGACCTTTGCCCACCCGACGTTCTGCCAGCCGTACTGGTCGATCCGCTGCACTATCTGCTCCAGCGCTGGCGGCAGGTCTGCCTCGCGGGGCACGGGCAGCTCGATGCTGGCCGCGCGGCACCCCGACTGCGGCTCGTCAACCGCCCGGAGGGACGGCGAGGCTGCCCCCGTGGACGTGGAGCGCAGCTCCTCCAGAAAGTATCGCTCCACCCCCGAGTGGCCAGCCTCGCGGGCGCACTGCAGCGGGCTCCTGCCGAAGTCGTCCTGGGCGAGCGGGTCCGCCCGGAGGTGCATGAGCTGCCTGCAGAGGTCGACGTTGTTTTCGGCTGCGGCCCAGTGCAGCATCGAGAAGCCGCTGACCCACGACTTGGACTTCCAGCCGAAGCGCTGGATGTCGTCCAACAACATGCGCCGCTCCTCCTCGGGCAGGGCAGGCGGATCTGGTGGCGCGGGCGCTGACCCGTCGCTGCAGCTGTCCTCGCCGATGCCCTCCGGCACCGCCTGGAGCAGCTCCTGCTCAAGACCCCTGGCGCGTGCTGCTTCGAGGAAGACCTCGTCGGCCTCCCGCGCAGCGCGGGCGGCCTCGGCGCGGGCCTGGAGGACCTCCTGCTCGAGACCCCTGCAGCGGGCTGCTTCGGCCAGGGCCTTGCGCTCCAACTCCGCCGCGCAGCCCGCCTCCGCACGGGCCTCGTCCAGCTCCCGCCGCAGCTCCGCCGCGCAGCCCGCCTCCGCCCGAGCCTCAGCCAGTTCCCCCCGCAGCCCCGCCGCGCAGCCCGCCTCCGCCCGAGCCTCCGCCAGCTCCCGCCGCAGCCCCGCGGAGGCGGCGCCGCCGAGCTCGAGCTGCTGCTCCAGGCCGCGGACCTGGTCCGCGCGGAGCTGGCGCTCCGTCTCGAGCTCGGCCCCGAGCCTTCGCCCTGCGTCCTGCGCCTGGGCCAGCTCCTGCTCCAGCTCCTGCCGGGTCCGCCCTGGGCCGGCGTCCGCGTCACGCCGGGCCTGGAGCAGCCCCTCCAGCCCCTGCACCACGTCGCTGACGACGGCGTCGAGCTGGCAGATGTCCTGCTTGAGGGACAGGGCCCCGCTCTCCGCCTCACAAGCCTCGTCCCCGCGGGGCTGCTGCGTGCGTGCCGCCTGGCCCTGCGGGGAGCCGTGCGACGCGCCGCCCGCGTCGGGACCGCTGAGGCGCCGCAGCATCTCCGTCATCCTGGCGACCTGGCCACGGAGGCCCTGGCACTCCGCCCTCTCGTCGCCTAGCAGCGACTGCAGCTCCCGGCAGTCAGCCAGCACGGCGCTCGAGTGCTCCTCCAGCGCCCCCAGGTTCTCCTCCGCCACGCCGTGCGCCTCCACCGCCTCTGCCGCCGACCTGCGCTCGCGCTCCAGCGCGTCCTCCAGCTCCTTGGCGGCTAGGCGGTCGCGCGCGGCCGCTGACATGGCCTCGCGGTACCTGGCTTCCATGCTCTGCAGCTGCAGCATGATGTGGTCAGCGCGCGCCTGGGCAGCCTCCTGCTCCGTCCAGGCTCTCTGCTCGCTCCTCTGGCAGTTCTCCGCGATCCTGCGGATCTCCAGCAGCTGGCCTCCGCGGAGAGGGCCGCCGCCGTCGCTGGGCTCCGCTTGTGCGCCGAGCGCGCCAGAATCTCCCGACCAGACGGCCCGTCGCATCTTGGCCAGCTCGTCCGGCACGCCCGTGCACGCGCGCTGGCGCTGGTCGATGCCCGCTGGCCCACCTCCGAGGTCCTGCGGGGCGCCGCGCTCCCCGAGGCCTCGGCTGGCAGCCCTGCCGCCCGGGGCGCCAGAGGCCCCCAGGCGCGCGCTGAGGACCACCTCCCGCTCCATCTCCGAGATGATTCCCTCGACGCGGTCCACCAGGTCGCGTGTGGGGCCCAGCGCCTGGGACGCTGGGGCCGCCGCCGCCGCGGGGTCGGGCCCTGCGTCGCCCCCGATGCGAGGGCCCTCGACGGGGGACCGCCGAGCCGACGCGGTACCCGCCTGGGCCCGAGGTTCCCTTTGATTCTTCTGCAGCTCCAGGAGCCAAATGAGGCCTGCGAGCGTAAGGCGGGCGTGGGGTCGTTCAGGGGTGCGTAAGGGGGATACGCCGGCATCCTGTACACCACTGCCTTTGAGCGTGCCCAAGCGAGTGTGAAGTGGTCGTTTTGGGTGTGGTAGTTCTGGGTGTGGTCGTCTTGGGCACCCCTAAACGAGCTGAGAGTGATGATGTCTTTAATCCTATCAGTCCTCCAGGCGCAGGTGGTCTAGGGCGGGACCTGGAGGGGGAGTTTTGTGAGGCGTTAGAGCGTCCAAGATGTCCAAGATGGCTCCAAGAGGGCCTCAGAGAGCCCACGATGACCTCCAAGATGGCTCAACATAGTGTAAGATGGCTCCAAATGGCTCCCAAGATGCTCCAAGATGCCCCAAGACCGCTCCAAAACCCAAGACGACTCCAAATGGCCACGGAACCTCACCAGGAGGCCGCCAAGAGGCCAGAATCCTCCAACAACCTTGAGAAAATCACTGCATTTGGCCTTCTCGCCTTTTTGCTTTCGATGGCCTTCCGAGGCCTTAAGATGTCTCTAAGAGGGCCCATGAGGGGTCCAAGAGAGGCCCAAGATGGCCCCAAGAGCGCTCCAAGAGGGGTCCAAAAGACGGATCTAGGCACTCTAGAAGGGCAGTGCAAATTATGTACCCCCCCTTGCTTGATCGATCTCCTCTAAGATGGCTCCAAGAGGACCCCAAGAGGCGCCAAGGAGGCCCCAACGTGCCCCCAAAAGACTCACAAGAGGCCCCGAGAGGCTCCTCGAGTCACCCAAGACGCTCTCAGAGGCGCCCAGGACCGCCAAGAGGCTCCCAAGACTCCCCGATGGGCCCCCAATCTCGCCATTTCCTCTTCATCATTCTCCTCCCCCTCATCCGCCTATTCCTCTTCCTCCCTCCCCCTCCTCCTCCTTCCCCTCCTCCTCCTCCTCCTCTCCTTCTTCTTGCCATCCTCAACTTTCTCCTCCTCCTCCTCCTCGTTGTTCTCTTCTTCTTCTTCTTCTTCTTTTTCTACTTCCTCATTCTCCTCCTCCTTCCTACCCCTCTTGGTGTACGACGGATTCTCCAGCTCTTTGTTCTTCTGTGGGGGCACGCGAAGCGTCAACAGTACATCGTGCGCAGGCATCCTGTATGCCACTGCTCCTGAGCGTGGCTCGGCGCGTGCCGAGTGGTCGTTCTGGCTGGCTTCGTTTGGGGTGTGGTCGTCGTGGGCACCCCTACACCAAACGAGCTTCGAGGAGTGGTGCTGTCTTGCAAAAATGAAAGGGCACCCCGCCTGGGCCTCCGCGAAGGCCGCGGCCGGCGGCGCCGGGGGGTGCGGCGGGGTGTGCGGGCGGCCGCCGGCGGGGTGCGCGCCCGGGCCCAGGCGCGGCGCGCCGAAGGCGGCCTCGCCGAGGGGGCCTGGCGGCGGGACCTGCAGCGGCTGCACGGCGACGGGCGGCGCGAACCAGATCGACGGCCTGGCCTGCGGCGTCGCCAGGGGCTCCCACGCCGCCTCGGAGGAGGGATCCACACTCGTGCACACAGGTCTGTGTGTTCATGCGTGTAGTACGATTCGTGTTTCGATTATTGCTATAACGGTTATGATTACACGCCTGCTTCTACTTATACGAGCAGTACGTAACATTCGTATACGATCATTCGTACTATCATTGGCAAGTATATGCCTATTATTGTTATCGATGATGAGTTTGTCTTCTACGATTGATAGTATTACTGCGACTGTTCATGTTCGCACTCGAATTCGTCCCATGATGATTATTCGTATCACTAGTTCGCGTGTTAATATTATGACTGTATATACGAGATATCTGCATACATTTTTGTATATATATATATATATACACACACCTACTCCGGCAAAAAACACACAAGCGGCCGCCACATCCCAGGGACAACGCCGCGGTGCGATGGCCATTCGCAGGGTCAGGGTTAAAACCACAGCACCGCCTCGGAGGAGGCATGTGAGGGGGCCTTTAGAACCTTCTGGCCCAGCACTCACTTCTTAAACAAGTCAATGCCACGAGTCCTTCAGGGCGTGAGTGGCTTAGTGCGAGTTTGCACTTCCAACGCCCTTTCATCCTCTTCGGGGAGGGGCTTATCGTTGCTCTTTATTCAAAAGCACCCCCTTTCCCCACACGTTCGGGACCCAACTAGGTTCCATGCCGACCCCCAGCATCCCTGCCAATCAACAATGCAACGTGCATGTTACAGAAACATCTGAATCCATGTTGCGTACCCCGCGTTCGCTTTGCATGCTGTTGACCACGACGGGGGGGGGGCATCACGGAGCCCCGCCCCCGCGCCTGCAAGCCCACCACCACTGTCAACAGATGCAAAACAAATGCACGCTGCTGCCACATGTTGGACCATGCGCAGGGCGCCCCGCGATCACCTGGCATTGCCTTTGCCAGGATGACGGGGGATGCCCGCATATTGCGTGGTGCGTGCGGGCCCACCATCCCCGTCAAATGCAGGTGCAACGTCCTTGCGGGTGCACGCCCCGTTGCACGATGCTGGCCAGACCGCCGCCGCTTCGCGCAGGCTCTCGACACGGAGCGTGGGGGGTCGGCATGCTTCCCAAGGCGTGCTGCCAAGTGCGCCTGGCGCGGGTGGAGCGCGCGGTACACTCTGCGACGACGAAACAGGCGGGCGCATCTGGCGCACCAGGCGCGCCTGGCACGGTTGGCTCCCTGGGGCGCATGGCGCACATAGCAAGCGCAGCGAACCTCGCGAGCGTCGAACACCTCACGCCTGTTTTGGCTCCCACTGGCTGTCCATTCAGTAGCGGTCCTTGCTAATGCTGAGACGAAACCAGGACGAGGGCAAATTCGGATGAGGATAAGTCGAGCACCTTTGAGATCTGGCGGCTCAAGAGGATGTCTCGGTCGCCGCGGCCTTCTCAGAGCGTTCTGGAACGCTCTGTGAGAGCGTTCTGGAACGCTCTGGAACGGATTCATCCTTGTCCTACCCCCGGCCAATGGCGACCCTTGGCAATATTAAGACTCGAGTGCTACTTTTGTGGTGGGAGGGCGTGTGGGACTGAGCGAGAAGACCGTCATTCGGAGGGTAGCTTGACCCTTCTCGGGCTCCAGACCCCCCCCCCGCGAGGTGTCCTCAGGGTCCTTTTTGGCCCAAGGCGGCCCCAGATAGCCCGAGATTTCCTCCCAGATCGAACACGGTAGTCCAAGATGGTTCAAGGCAGCCTCCAACATGCCCTCAAGAGGCCCCAAGCCTGCCCCAACACGTCTCCAAGTGACCTCGGCGTATCCCAAGGACGCCCCAAGGCATAAAACACCTTGGAGGACACCATTGCTCGTGCTTTCACATTATCGCTTTCAATGGGCTTCTGAGACCTTCGCTCCGAGAGAACCCAATCGAGCCCCGAGAGGGGCCCACGGGGGCTCCAAGACGGCCTCAACTGGGCCCAAGAGCGCCCAAGAGACGATTTCTGGGGCTCCGGCGGGCGAGGGGGGCGTAATGTACGCCGCCTCGTACTCCTCGTCCTCATCTCCTCGTCCTCGTCCTCCTCGTCCTCGTCCTCGTCGTCGTCGTCGTCGTCGTCGTCCTCCTCCTCCTCCTCCTCCTCCTCCTCCTCCTCCTCCTCCTCCTCCTCCTCCTCCCCCACCCTCCTCCTCCTCCTCCTCCTCCTCCTCCTCCTCCTCCTCCTCTTCCTCCTCCCCCACCCTCACCCTCCTCGACCCCTGGGAGGGAGGGCGAAAGGCCTGTGGCGCCACGAGGGGCTCCCACACCTCGTGATGGGGCGACCGGGACGCTGGCGGCATCCACTGCGGCGGCGGCGGGCGCGGCGGCGGCTGCGCGGGAGAGCCAGCCCGGGCCTGCTGTGTTCTCCAGCTCCTCCTCCCTCCCTTCCTCCCTCCTCCCTTCTCCTGGTCCACTCTCTCCTCCTCTCTCCTCCCCTCCTCCTCCTCCCTCCTCCTCGTCCTTCCTCCTACCTCCTCCTCCTCCGTCCTCCTCCTCCTCCTCCTCCTCCCTCCCTCCTTCCCTCCTCCCTTCGCCGGTCCTCTTTTCCTCCTCCTCTCTCCTCCTCCTCTTCCGTCCTGTTCCCACCCCTCCTCCTCCTCTTCCTCCTCCTCTTCCTCCTCCTCCTCCTCCTCCTCCTCCTTCTCCTTCTCCTCCTCCTTTTCTCGTCCTCTCAAGCCACCTAGGCCCGAGCTTTTTGCTCGTGCCGACTCTCGTGCTTGCTCGCAGCGCTTGGGGCACACAGAGCAGAGTCCTACGAGAGGGCCAGTCATCTGTGACCGAAGCGAGAGTGTTAGACCCCACTCCTTCCCGTTAGCCATGGGAGGCTCCTCTTTGAGGGGCCAGCAGCTCTGGAGAATATTCCAGTGCGGGAAATGCGAGAGGAACGGTATCCTCACCGGGTCGGGCGGCAAATGTGGCAAGTGTCAGCGCGACGTGGTTCTCTTTGTTCCCAAGCAGAAGGCTCGGTCTCGTTCGCAGTCGCCTGGTCGTGTGTCATTCGCCGATGAGGATGACGTTCGGAACATTGAGACTGAGAGCAGCGGGTCCCAGAAGATTTCCAGGCCTCCGTGGGAGACAACCACCAGCGTGGCCGACCACCTGATGGAGGCCATGAAGAACACGGAGGATCAGGAGCTCAAGGCGCTGTTGAAGAATCGTGTCGAGCTCCTGAAACAGTCCCCTGCCAAGGTCGAGTCCCCCACCTCGGCCGCCGACGACGACCAGCGCGTAGAGGGTCACTGGAGGGACTGCAATCACAAGCGCGACCAAATGCTGTCCAACGTGCGTCGCTTGCGCGACGCTTTGGCCACTGCCGAAGCCAAAGCGGTGGCGGCGGCGGCGGCACTGGCAGCAGCTGAGATTGCTAAGAAGAGGGCAGCAGCAGTACTTGCTCGCGCGGAAGGTTTGGGCGCGGACCAGCGTCCCTCGGCGGCCCCTGACACCGAGTGTAGTGAGGAAGCGTTCTCTGTCTCATGGGATCAACCGATTTTCTGAGGACATCAGCTTGGAATGCGAAGGAGTCCGAGAAGGAGGAGCTCAAGCGCTTTCATGCTACGTGGCTCAGGTGCAAGAGCCGTTTCAAAGGAGGGGTGCTGAGGTGAGGTCTTGGCTCGACGAGCTCGGCGGAGGTGAAGGGAGGTGTTGCGTCGAGGCTGGCGGCCAAGAGGAGGGGGGGTCGACGGCGCCAGCCACGTCGCCAGCGGAGACCCGGGCCCACAAGGGGGTGGAGGGAGGGGGGAGGGCTTCTTAGAAGGAGGCTGCTTCTTAGAAGGCGGCGGCCTCACATCTATAGATCAGGCCCGCGCCTTCTAAGAAGCAGGGGTGCTTCTACGAAGCCCTCACCCCTCCCCCCACCCCCCCTCTGCGCGTGGCTGAGGAGAGGCGGGGCCCGAGGCCCCGCCCACGGGGGCCAGCCGATGACGGCGGAGCGGCGGCAGGCGGCGGCAGCGGCAGCGGCAACGGCGGGGGGGGTCCCAGCGGCAGCGGCCGCGGCGCAGGGCTGCCGAGGCCGAGGCCGAGGCCCCCGGAGGCGGCGCGGGCTGCGGCGGCCAGGGCCAAAGGCAAGGGGCAACCCCGGCCGTGGAGGACTGAAGGGGCCCTGGGACACACACATGAATATACACAAATCAAAGGATTCCCCATATTTGCCCATATTTTCTGGGTTTTTGTCTTCCCCCCCACTTCCCATATTTTCCAATATTTTCTCGGGAATCGACGATTGATTGTGTCTGTGTGTTTCTTTCCCTCCTGAAGGACATCGCCCCACCGTCTGCCTCGGCTTGACGGCCAGCGCCCGTGGCTGCGCCCAGCGGACAGCCTCGCAGTGTGGCGGCGCAGGTGCAGGCGCCACTGTTGTCCATGGCTTCTGACTCTGACCAGTCCGAGTCCGTCTTCAGCATGCTTCTCGCGAGCATACTGGTCATGGGGGATCGTGCATGTGCGCATATTCTAAATCTGTCTCTCGGGTTGTGCCGAGGCTCGCGCTGAGGCGAGTCACATACGCACATGGGGGAGCAAGGTTCGACAAAAGAAGCCCAGGATGATCTCCAACGCCGTCAGGCCGTCTGGTCGAGGTGGTCAGGCACGAGCCGATCGTGCCAGCGAAGGTGGAGAATGGCTTCTGGCACGAGGTCATCTTCAATGCGAGCTGCTCGCGGAGGTCAAGATAACGGGGTCCCTCAAGGCCGAGGGGTGCGAGGCGCAGGACGGTCTCACGGCGTCGGTGCTGCACCTCAAGGGCTTCTCCATCGTGCTCCTAATTGCGTACTGTTTCTCGTCCATTGGCATGTCGGGCAAGACAATTTCCAGGCCGCGCAAGGTGGGTGGGCTGTTCTTGACCGCTCTCCAATTGCCTTGGATATGGTGGGGAGATTGGAATATGGAGCCAGATGTTCTCTCTCGTAGCGGTTTTCTGCAGCGAGTCCAAGGGCGAGTCGTGCTGCCAGGAGTGGAGTGCACATGCGACTCTGGGTACAACAG